TGAAAATGAACAGTATTTAGTAACAGTAATGGACACATAGTATAATCCACTTCCACATTGGATTAAAAGCTATTTTCATTTTAAATTTACGCATATGTTTAAATTGCACACATTTTAATAGGCTTGAGAATTGTATACTCATTTAAAATAATATGAGTGCTGAAATTTGTTTCAAAGCTATTACTAGAAATTCTGATTTAAAATAATATGTTTCAGCCACAAAGAATTTTATTTCAAGTGATAAGCTTTAGAATCATTGCTCATGCAAATAATTTCCAAAAAAGCTTGCTTTAGTCTCATTCTGCAGACATATCCTAAAGCAACATGCAATTGTTACTGGAGATTTCTACTTACACAGCACAGTGCAATGGAGAGAAGCTATTACCATCAAACTTGTGGAAAAGTTTTTGTTCCAATAGTACCTCTATGCAGTTTTCATGACCTGTGAGAGAGCAGATATTTCACTGTGTTGCACAAAGCAGGTAGTTCACTTAATTCATACTTGGCTTATACAGGTTGGAATCTAACACTTTTAAGTTCAAAATTGAACATGATGTGTATATAAGCCCTTATGTGATAAATGAGAGGATTTTTAGAATTATATGGCAGCAGCAAGAGATATCTAGGCTAATATTAGCATTTATTGAGAAAAAAGGAAAGAAAATAAGTTTTTTTTTAATGTGACGTCATGTGTGCTGCATTACATCCAAAGCTTAAATGTCAGTACGGAGAAGCTTTGTCATTATATAAGCAACTAGTTCAGATTATCCAGTTTGGAATAATCAGTTCAGTTCAGAATATCCATCTATTCACATGGCCTCTTGCACCAAGAGCTCAAAGGAGCATTCCTGGTCACACAGAAATTAATTTCAGCATGGACATGAATAAAACCAGAATTTCATCCTGGCTTCTTGTGACTTGGAGCAAATGAGCTGCAAAGTCCCTGGGAGGTACTGCTGGAATTTCCCTGGCCTCTGAACTGAAGGGTGTATGTAGGGAATGCTAACCACAGACAGCACACAGGGATAATTTGCCTCTTCATTTCAAGCTCCTCCACCAGGTTTCCCCACAGCTGAGGCCACCCTTGAGCAGGGCAGTACCCCAGGAGAGCCTTACCATTGTAAGAAGCCCAGTGCAGGGGCGTGTAGCCCTGGTTGTCCTTCAGGCTGCAGTCCTCCTCGGAAAGTGCCACCTGCAGTAGCTCGCTCAGCCACGTGGCGTGACCCCGGGCTGCTGCAAAGTGCAGAGGTGTCCTGCCTCTGGCATCTCTACACAAAATAGAGACTTCTTTCTCTAACAGCATCTGAACACATTCTTCATGCCCAGTCATGATCTGGTAACAAAGAAACGAGTAAAGAGGTTGATGTAACACAGATTCTTGCCCTGGAAATATGAAATGTGATTTGATGCCTGTGAACATGAAATGGTGTGGATGGAATTCAGCAGTCAGAGGTGAGAGCCCCTTTGCTCACCTGCTGAACTGCTCACTGCAGTTATCATAAAGTTCTGTATAAATATCATCCCTTGCATCCACACTGGCTAAGTAGCTAGACTTAGCTAGGAAAGCCTAGCTTAGTCAAGCTGGACTGAAAAAGATTAGATCTGCCTCGTTTCACTGCTTCTAGAAAAAACTTATAGGACATACTTGCACCGTTCCAGGAAAAATGAAAGTAACTACTGGCCAGATCTTTCAAAAAATTATTTGCATTATTCTCAAGCTGGTCAGTTAGAAGAATAATGACTGCTATTAAAAAGTGTCTAGAGAAAAAAAAAAGTGGTCTAATCATTATTCTGCCTAATTAATTAATGCAAATGTGAAATAAAAACAAGGCATTACTAAGAGCAGATGTGACTTGCTTTGTATCTCATTGTTTATGCTTGGTCATGTTTCCAGTCATTTACAGTGTTCTCTAGATTTAAATATCCATGTACTTATAAGTGAGTTGTAGTCAGAGCAAAACAAATAATAAAGGATTATAAAACTTAAGTCACCCCTCGATGTAAAGCTGTGCATCCCAGGAGATCAGCTGCATCTACAGATGCTTCTTTTTCAAGTAATAAAGAAACAGCATCAACGTGCCCATATGCCACTGCAAGCATTAGCGGAGTTCTAGGGAAAAAAAGAAAACCAGAGCAGTCATAGCTATAAAATGGCATACTAATACTGCTAACTTACACAGAGAAATCAGGAAGCTCTGCATTTCTTGCCACTCCTACCCACAAACCCGGTTCTTTTCCCCATAGTCATATATGACACCTGAGTGAAGACCTTTTGTATAAAAATATTAAGATGCTTAACAACTGACTGCCACGACTGAAATAGTAACAAACCCACTTGTAAGCAGTTTACAGAGCAACACCATTCAAGACAATCTGTTCTCTCAATATCCTACAATTACTGTTACCTCCAGTGACACACGAGTTTTACAATACACACAAGTTTTATAAGTTTTACATGCATTCACAGTCTTGTGAATGCATGTTACCAAGATGACAATGACCCAAAGTATTTCTTTTGCAAATGCTGTACATTTGCTTAAGGGGCATGAAGCGACATGAGGAAAATATTCAACCTAAAATTTAGACTAACATATCTTTCATTTGCTTCTGAAAGAGATCTCTTCTCCATCTGTTTTTAGGCAGACTAATACCATTTGAAATTAAATGTGCAGACATTATATGTACAACATTATCGGTTCCAGATACCCCAAATGAGTTTCTTAAACCATTTACATTTTCACTTTAAAAATATATCTTATCCTCCCTCTATAACTGCCATTTAAGAACTAAAGGTTTTGTAGGAACATCTCAGATGCATGTGTCACCTCAAATAAACACTGTGTCCCACTGCACCAGTGTAATGTACCAAATAAAACCTAGAAGAGCAACGTTTTAGAAAGAAGAAGACTTTATAGAAACAGCTCAGGAGCCTGTTCATTTTTTATTGAATCTGGCCCTCAACATCTATAAAAGACTGTTTAAAGTATGAAGCAGAGGCTAAGATTAATGATTAGTCCTTTCCACATGGCTTACATCAACTGAATGTGTACTTTGTAATCTCTGCCAAATTCTACGAGGAGAAGTGCAGGAAATACAGTATTTCAAATAAGTACTTTTTTGTGAGAAATATGAGATGCTATTTGAATTACAGAGCTGGGAAAAAAAAAAGCTCACAAAGAAAACTTACTGTCCTTTGGCGTCTGTCACATCAGGGTTGTCTGTGACTTCCAGCAACAACCGTAAACAAGGTGTATGGCCATTAATGACTATAAAGGAAAAAAACCTATGTTTAATTTCAGATACTTGTCCTTCGGAATGCTTAGGGATAAGAAATGTCCTTATAAACAAGGAAAACACTCCACCATATTAGAGATCAACATTTCCCCAATTTTCATTTAACTTGCCAGTGAAATGGTAAGCTGTTTTTCCCTTGACTTCATGAAGATGAGGATTAGTTCTCTTAGATGCAAAAATCCCAAATGAGTAAAACAGAAATTGTGATATTCACTACTGAGAAGATTTCTACTAAATCTTTCTAGTGCAGACAGCATTTCAAAATCCTCCAGACTGAGCAGGCAGGCAAGGCTTTCTGCGCTCAGGGTTGGAACACAGTAGGAAATACATTGTCAGGGCTCCTTAATTTTATCTGCACTGTACAAGTGAGTACTTCAGTGCTGCTATGAAAAAAAAAAATCTGCAAAGAATGACCAATGATACAAATGTCATATTCATAAACTTACATAACACCAGAGACTAAATTTCCCTTTGAGTTTATCCATTTTATAAAAAAAAAAGACTTATCAAAAACATTTGGGTTTAGTAGTGTTTGGGGTTTTGGGGCTTTTGCTAAGGGGGGATATTTTGGTGGGTTTTTTTTTGGTTTGGTTTGGTTTTTTGTTTGTTTGTTTGTTTTCTTGTTTTGTTTTTTTTTTTTTTATGTAACCCATTCTGCTAGGAAACAGCTTTGAGTCACTACATTCTGTAGGGCCTGACACTGAACCCCATCTGTGTGTTAGCTGGCTTTAAGGCTTCAGACTTTCATGGGATGAAGAGACAGATATTTTCTTCTTTGAAAAACAATTCCTGTGCTCAGTAGATATATGTTGTGTTCTTATTACAGCAAGTCATGCATTCACACTGCCTACACCCTGTGGGCTGAGGCAAAACCCTTGGACACCACCTATGTCACATCATGCTGGCAGACAAACCGGTGCACATCATCACATACAAGTTACTCATCCAAAAATAATCTTAGTTGATTTACCCAGAAAAATAAAAGGCATTTTTAGTTATTTACCACTAAGTAATGACATATACATAACATGTAAACAGTTCTGCAGGGCTGGTGATTCACTAGCTTGTGGGGGGGACGGGGAATAAAGGTCTGTTCTTTCTCCCAGCAGGAGGAAGATAAATCGTGACTTATTAACAAAGATGTTTGAAAATGATTTTGGTAAATGAGTTTTAGAACAGATACTCCCAGAAACTCCTAGGAGCTGACCCAGTGATTGTTAAACATTATGGACCCTGCAGGGAACATTAGTTTTGCCAACAGACCCACAATAACACTAGGGGAACATTTGCAATGGATTCCCCAGGCTAGCCAGAGGAGAGGCTGCCGGTAATAAAATTACCCAGGGAACATATCATTTAGGTGAAGGAAATCCACCATGTTATGAGGCCAGAGGAAGTCTATTACTTCATGGGGAGAGACAGAAAAAATGAACACTTCATTAGGTGGGTTCTCAAGTCACAAATCCCTTTACTGACACAAATGTGAAGAATTCCGTCATCCAATCCACCACTTGAGGCCTCCTGAGCCCAGTGTTCAGCAGCTGTGCCGGTGTCATTAGAAGGAATGAGGGCACACAAGCTTAAGGGGATGGGGACACCTTGCCTTCTTGTTTTTCCCAGTGCACAGTGCTCACTTTGGTGCATGCAAATGCACACTGGCACTCAAGGGAATAATTCAGCAAGAATTCTGTTTGATTTCTCAACAGGCACCACCTGCCCTCCCACACTGGCAGCACAGAGAGGCTGAACAGAGCAGCCACAGGCGAGCTCCCACCCGCGGCACCGGCCTCACGCAGACACTCCTGACCAAGGCGCTTCCTTAGGAACAGCAGTGTGGAAACGGGCACGCTGCAAGGGCACGTCTAGAGCAGGTGGTGGAAGGAGCTTTACTCCAGAGATCATTTCCACAGAACACTACAGAGCTTCTGAATGGAAGGTTCTAAACGTTGTCTTAACAAATATTTACCCAAAGTGCACTTAACTCACATTGAAAGCTTTCAAATCCATGACAGTGGTGAATTTCCTTTATTAGGGAGTTCAAATACTCAACCCATCTGTGCATTACTTTCCATTCTGCTCAAGGTACATGTTCCCTTTTGTGTCTCATTCCTGGGTAGGATTTTTTTGCCTTTTTTCTTGGTTGGGTTTTTTTTGTATATGTGTTTGTTTGTTTGTTTTTAAGACATATCTATCTGACTTATTTTGCTTCACTGCAAACTTAAAGAACAATTTAGTTGCACTCCTAGGAATGCTTTTTAGTCTGAGAAGCAAAAAGCATAATGGACCAGAAAAGTCTGCAATAAATCTTCCTACTGGTTTCACATGGAAGGCACTCAATACTACAGTGAGGGAGGTGATTAAAAAACAAATAAAAAGGGGCGGGGGGAACACAATGTGAATTTATGTGAAGGTAAGAAAGGTGTGTATTAAAATAACATCTTCTACTGAACAAATTTACTCAATTTACTCAACAGATTTATTCAACAGATTAGTATTTTAAGTCAGAGCTGTTAAGAAAAATATGGCTTTGTTACCATTGACTTTTCTCAGTACTGAAGAACCTTCACAGTTCAGTTGTGACAACTGGAAACTCTTGTCACTATAGCCACTTTTTAAAATAAATGCAAATATTTGCATTTATTTAAATGATGTGATGATGTACCAGACAAAGTCACACCTTGTTCACATCAGATCCCAAGATATTTTTGAAGTAACTACAGGGAAAGCTCTTCACTGCCACAGCTTAGTTTTGTGGTAGCACTAATATTGATTTAAATTAACTAAACCGTCATTTTTTATCATGGGGAGAAATGTGCTGAGATCTGATGCAAAATTTAAGCAGACATGAAGCATTTTTAGTATGCAGTGTGGTCTATTATGAGCATTTCCTTTAGTACTGCAGACAAATTTGGTAAGTCTATTTAACCTTAGGTTTCTAGATTGCACTAACATTATCATATACACAGAATAAACTGATACTACAGAATATATATGCATTTCAGTAAGATTAAAAGATAAGCAGGAAGACAATTAAGTCTGGTCCTGAATCAATTATCCACGTGGTATTAATTTTCGTTCCCACTAGAGGCCACTGCTACCCTGTACGGAGCCTCTCCTGGAACAGCAGAGGAGACACAGTCCCTTTGGCATCTCTGCATATTTACCTGACAGGTACCTGTCAAATAATAACCTTCAAATAAATGACAAAGTCTATGCTTCCCAGCTGATTTTGCAGGTTCCATAATTAACACCCCACACATGAGGAAAGGAGCAGGCTGCCAGCAAGTGCAAGCTCACAGGCTGGCTCAGGAGGAGGAGGAGCCTGAAAGAGGGGGATGCATTTCTGTGGTGCTGCCACTGCAAATGGTTGTAAGTTTTGAACACCAGAATAATTTCATTGCCAATCAGAGCCCATATCTATTTTTCTGCCTTTCTTCCAAAGGAGAAGCAGTGAGGCAAGTGCTCCCTCCTCCCCTGATTATTTGGCTGAAGAAGCAGCAAGAGAAGGTGTCATGAGGGAAACATCACACCTCCCAAAGAGCAGGTGGTAACAGAGAGAAGCAAGCAGGTAAGAGCAGTAGTGGTATGCAAAAATAAAGGATTCTCTGTGAGGGAGTACTGAACCACAGGGATACAGGAAAAAAGATGAATGAAACAAAAGAAAAAGGGTTTAAATGTACAACATCAGCAAACAAGTATCACTCCTCAGGACCTGTGAGAATGTTCCTCCCTTTAGAAGAAATGCGCATAGCAACTGCAGGTAAGTAAATGTATCTGCTGTGGTGTGGGAGGGTTCACACCACAAGGGTAACATAAGATCACACTCACCTGAGGCATGGAGGGGGGTCCTTTTGGTGACATTGTCCTTGACGGTGACAGAAGCACCCTGGCTGATGAGAGCTTCCACACACTCTGCATGTCCTCTAAACGCAGCCAAGTCCAGAGCAGTGCGTCCCTTGTCATCCTTAATATCCAGATCTACCAGAGACTGGAGAAGTACCTCCAGAGCTTGATGATGACCATTATAGGCCTAGAATTATGAAATGGATCATGTAAAGAACACAACTCCTGTCTTTCAAAGACCTTTCCTATAAATTGTGAATAAAATCCATCCCTTTCAATGTCTCCTAAATACAACAGAAATTAGTTTATTGATTCCTTATGACTCTCTATTCAACCAGAAAGGATTTTTCCAAATTACTTTGGAATTACTTTTTTCCAAATTACTTTGGAAAAATTAAATCAAATTTAAATTTAATTTAATTAATTAAAAATTAGACTAAATTTATTACTTCAATAAATTTAAATTATTTAATTAAAATATTCCTAGAGTTTAGGAAAAGAATTTACAAATCTTGATTTGCTCTAACCTTCTAGTACAACCCAAAGTGAGGAAATTTCAGGCAATACTACAGTGGACAAGCAGATGCACTTCCAGACCTACAGCCACACTGGGGCCAACAGTACAAACACAGGTGGCATTGCAAAAACACAGTGGACAGTGCCAGAAATCGGAAATGTTTTGTTCAGCTTTGTAGGGCCTGCCCTCTTCTTTTCACTGTCATACTCAGAGCATCCTTTTTATTTACATACAGTTGTATAGTTAGTATTTTCAGAGTTGAAGCTGTGAATTCTCTCTCCATGCCTAAAGACATTCAAAATGTGATGGGACACAGCCCTGAAAAAATCTGCTCTAGCTGATTCTACTTTTACCACAGACCTGGGACTCGATCTCCAGAGGTCCATCTCAACCCCAGCTATTCTGTGGTTCTGCACAAGAAAACTGGGAAGAGGAATCATGAATCTTGAGCTCTTGGGACAGGGGAACAGTTGTTATCTCTGAGGCCATCTCTGCTGGATCCTGTTGTGATATGCCATTCTCCATAGCATTCTCAGGGCACAGCTGGGCTTTGAACACTGTCCCACACCCTGCTGCATACCAAAGGGTTTTTGCACTGCACCTCTCCTCCAGAACATCAGAGAATCTCATTCCATGAGCAAAGCCTACAGTCAAGCTTTGGCCACATATTTTTAAAGTAGTTCTAAATACAAGTGTGAATTTCCATTTAACTTCACTTCAGTGTCTGTGTCATCTTCTTGCTCAAGTGTTAGAGTTGGGAAGAGCCAAGAGCTTCAACTGCCTAAAACTTAATTAACGATTCCAGCCCAGAACCTGGCTTTGTTACATCCCTTCCCACCCTTTTCAAAACAAGCCCACATTAAACTTGCTTCAAAGACAGAGATTAAAGAGCTGTTCTAGGAGACACTGATCAAATGCTTTACACATCTCATACTTACAGCTAAATGCAAAGGACTTTTTGTAGCTGCAGAATCAGATTCCTCAAACATATTGTTTGTTTTTTCCAGAAGCTGGGAAGAAAAAAAATAAAGTCTTAAAACATTTTTACATGAGACAGGATAAATTTTCATGGACTATAAATCTATAAATCAGCAACGATATATTTTGGCCACAGTAATTATTGAAGGATTGCGAAGTATTTTCAAGCTTTTCTGCACAGGGTAAAGCTATAAAACCAGTTTAAAGCTTGTCATGAACATCCTTAACCTGATTAATTAGTTTTCATGACATCTTGGGGCCTGCTTGGGTGAGAAAGGAGCAGGCTTTGTAGGATAGAGCCCGCAGTAAATTTACACTGGAGAAAGCTCAGTTTCATGATTATACAGCATGTGCAAGCCATGTCTGATACAGTGTTTTGGGTAATTCTGACACATAATTAGCACTGGGAATAATTATAACTGAGCTGTGAATCACTGATAAATTATAAAATTGACTGAAAGAACAATCTGCTCCTGCAATGACAGTCTTCCAAAATGCAACATGTCCCAGAACTCTTACAAGCATCCAGTAATATCTAGTAATAAATTTGTATAATCCTCTTCATTTTACAGCTTAAAACCAAGGACATTTCCATCCATCTAGAAGGAGGAGCTATGGAAAAGTACCACTCCACAACAGGACATGAACCTTGACAACTTATCCAGCTGAGGCTTCAAGGAAAATCACACAGTGTCGAGAATGTAATTGAAAATTCAACATTTGTTGAGTGGCACTGCTCATGTGCATGGACTTTTGCTTAATAATTACTCAGAGTTGGTCTCCACAAGCCTTTGGGACTGGAAATTAGCATTTCACAGAAAATCACCAATGGGAGACTGCATAAAAGGAAGAAAAGCATGACAGTCAGCTAAAACTGACTTGTAATGTTTCTAAGGCTACAAGTACATTTTTCAGTCTTTTTTAAGGTTTTTCATTTGGTTGGTTGGCTGGTTTGGTTTCTGGGTTTTTTTTAAGACACTAAGAAATTAATCAGAAGACAGAAAAATAAGAATGTAAGTTTTTGTGACAGTCTGGACAATTTTAGGCTATAACAACACGGAAAGTTCTCAAAAGAGACCATGAAAGGCTACAAAGGGCTTGTCTGTGCTGCAAGGTGATGGCATATTCCTAAACACTCATGTAGGCCTGAACTATTAGTGTAACAACTTAGTCTGCAATATAAATTAGCCTTAATAATGCATAAGGTGTTACAAATCTTATTCAGCAAGGCAAATAACCTGAATCCTATGGAAAAGCTAGAAAATGAGGCAGTAATCTAGTTTACTTGTATATTTTGTGCCTAGCAATATGTCAAGACTATGTGTTGATAAAAATCATAAGCAAGTAGGTGTGTGTATTAACAGGTAATGCAAATTTTAACACGTCCCTGCAGCTACGGGGGGGAAAAAAATCAAGCCTCCCACCAGTTTCTTGGTAGGTTTGGGGCAGAGTTAAGAAATGCATTTGGTGCTCCCATGTAGAACCACCTCCAGTTAAAATACTGTTCTTCTCTTATATAAGAGAGCTGTGAACAGGATGAAGCTGTAGCCAGCTATGAATACACAAATGCATCTGATATTCTCTAGTGAGTAAACAAGCTAAAAAATCCCACCAAACAAACCCAGGCACTAAGCCTGCTCCCCTGCCTACCTGATACTGGCCTTTAGTCTGTGTCCATGAGGCCAGCACAGCAGACTAATTTAATAATCTTTAATTACATTTCTCATCACCATGTTGAAATTCCAGGATCAAAATCATAGCAAGTAAATACCTCCCTTCACCTGTCAGAAGGCTCCAAAAGTCTCCAGGAACAAGGCAGATAATTGCCTTTCAAATAGATGAAAAAAACCACACAGAAAATTGACAAAATTAAGGCTCTAAAGGCACAAATAGTGGGATTGGAAAGCCCCTCACAAAAGGCATCTCCATGGCTTAGTCAAAGCAGCTTAGCTGGTGCAGACCAGGCTTAATGAGCTTATTAGTCATAAGGCTGAATATCTCCATCATAAAGTCAAGTGCAAACATGAATTTGATAGCAAACCTGGAAGCTCTCAGAAACAGAGCCATACACTGCAAGAGGAGCAATTAGAAAGGAGAACAAGAAGAGGAAGATAAAAGACACATCACTAATAATTTTTCTTTTTTGGCTTTCCTTGTCAAGCATTGTTTTGTAACAATTAAGTCACTTGAATGGTAAACATAATGTACAAAGAGATAAAAAATACCAAGTCCAAGTCACCAAAAATTCTCCCATTTTACCAGTGTTTCTATGGTTCTATGATGCTTTTATACTAAATTACATATATTTTCTATAATAACACATAGGATAGTGTGTCCTTGGGGGACTCTAGTTCCATTATACTTGAAGAAGCTATCCATAGTTGCATCTGTTTTTAAAATGGTAAATTTATCATTCGGAATCATTTGTCCTGGCAGCCATGGAAGCTTAAATCCCACACAGCTCACAGAGCAATCCCAGCATGTCTGCTGTGCTGCAATCCATCCCTGCCTGTGGAGCTGCATTTCACCAAAGACAGACAAATAAGCATGAATTACCAACAGTTTATCAATTACCATTGTTACTGGTGGCTGACTGGACAATGTCCCAGCATACTGCATTTCTTATTTTTTGGGACTTTAAAAGGCTGCCTTGTAGCAGATTGCATTTCTCTGTATCGACTGCCACAGATTTGTCAGAATTGTGCAAAGACCCTGTGTGACAGGGGCACCATTCCCCTGTGGGCAGATCAAAACCTTTCTAAAGGCAAGGGTACCCTTCTTCTCCTTCTGCCTCTGGGGAATTCCCAGCATGACCCTTTCACTTCCTGTGACAGCATCATTTAATTCTGTAAGTAATTTTGTGAAGTCTTCTTCAGACTCAGGAACAGGAACATAAATGCTTTGGGAGATGCAGACTAAGACTAAACAGCAATTATTCAGTTCTAGTCTTACAAACTAACAGCACTAAAAGGTTGCTGTTATAAACTCTCTTCTCTTCCCTAGCTCAGCATGAAGATGAATAACTTCTACAGTTTGCACATTTCATTTGTGCAGTAAGGGTATTTACAGGCACAAGAGGATTTGCTGCTTGATTTTATTTTGTGGTTATAATAAATGACTCTATGGCAAGATACAGTGTGGGTTCCCCCCTTCATTTTTGGACCATTCAGATATGCCAGTTAATGATTCAGGATACTTCCTGTGATTGTCCTCATAATATATGCTAAAATTCAGCTCTGGTATTTAAAAAAAAAAAAAAAAAAAAAAAAAAAAAGCAGCTTTATGGAGCATGTCAGTAATTCAAAATTACCATTAAGCAGAAAAAGAGATAATACTTTCATCATGCATAAAAGGTTTAAGCTACACTTTTTGAAGCAGGAGTCAAAAGAAACTCCAAGCCATAGACAATGAAATGATGGGCACTATCTCAAACCCTCAAAGAGCACAGAACATGTGATCCTGTCCAAGCCATCATGCACAGGCACCTCCAGGCACAGCCACTTCAGTGCACTCCCAATAGTTATGGCCCAGGCTGGTGCTCACTGGCACTGAAGTTAAAGAGAATTTTCTTTTGGGAGTGTTACTGTTTTATTAAGGCAGCTCTGACATTCCAGCACACACACTGGCAGTACTGCTGCTGAACCCCTGCAGTTTGGTGCTCTTCATGCAAATTGTAAAATGGCAAAGCATTAGATTGGCTGTGTATATTCTAAAAATGGCCTTTACTCTGAAAAGTTATTAATCTAACAGTGTTCAGAAATATCCACACATGTGAAAAGCTGATCAAAAGGCAATAAAGACAGAAGGAACAGCTGGACACTGCTCTTCTGCAACAATTCTGCAGCGATGCTGCTGATCACTTACAAGGTCATTCAGAACTGGCAATTAGTCATGATTTTTAATGTCACTTTCAGAACTGAATACAAATATATGAGCTAGGTGTCACTTTGCATCTCATATTTCCTGATAAATTGCAACAGAGAATTGTCTCTGCTCTGGGAAAACATGCTACCAGCAGCTTCTTTTAAATGAAGGCTTTTCAGCATGTAGCCAGGACAAGATTGAAAACCCTCATCAGCTGTTTCTGATGATACAGAAAAGAGCAGGAAAATGAACCTCCGTACTTCTTTATCTCAGGGAAATACATTTTAAAATCTTGGAATTATTCCTAACTGATGAAAAATTCAAAGGTGAAGTGGCACAAATATATCTTCAGGGGAACAAGCAATCCTGTAAGCTCTCTACATATTTGTAAATACACATGAACAAATTGTTTTAATTTGATCAGGTTAAAACCAATACTCCTCTTAACCTAATGCTAATGTTTTCCTAAGATCAGGCTTTAAAAATCCAATTCATCAGTATTGACATCAATTTCATTCACATGCACAGATATGGGTGAAGTTAAATTAACTTATGCAAGAAATATTTTCACAAGACCTTAGGCTGACTGAGCCTGAAGGGATGTGTTAGTAGCTCCATGCAACTCCTCAAGTACCAAGTTTAAGTATCCAATACCCACCAGAACGCAAACAGGACACTTACCTGGCATGTAAGAGAACAATGTTCAGGTCTTTAAACATATCTAAAACTGAAACTCGAGCAGGCTCCAGGGCCCTGGGCTGTTCTCAGCTGGGGCACTGATCTTCTCTTGGAGCTCTTCCACTCCATACAAAATCATTTCATGTTAAGCCATAGGAGTGCCATACTCAGTGGGTCATAGGGTCAGGTGATTGT